TTCTTTCAAGATGGGGTCGATGATGAGGGTGGCCCTCCTGCTTCTGTTCACTCTCCTGCAGGCTCTCTATCTCCAGCTGAAGACAGTCTCCCAAATACTCTGTTGCCAGAGCAAGACAAGTCCCTTCAGGTGGCTCTGCAGCAGTCAATGCTGGAGCAGGAGGAGCGTCAAGGCAACAGCGAAAGCGAGGGGTCAGATGACACAGCTGGGAAATTCGCTGAATTCTTTGCCAGCAGAGCACGTAGACGTGCAAATGCAGCTGGTGAGGACGAAGTTGCTGCTGAATCTGTGGGGTCTCAGGACTCAGATGAGCACTGGGGACAGGAGGATGCTGATGAGAGAATCGGAGCCTCGCTTCTTGCAGAAGATCCAAATCTTCAACCTGGCACGCTTGATCTTCCATTTGGACATTCAGTTGAAACTACAGCTGCAGCTACAGCTATGGCTATGGCAGCGAGGGCTTCGGGTGCCGAGCCGTCCGGCTCTGCTACAGTCAGAGATGCAGCGGCGGAGAGTTTCGCAGAAGCTTTGATGTCAGCCATGGCATTTGAAGACGAGTTTGAAGCGGAATTGCGGGGTGGAGGTGCAATCGGTGCAATGTCTGAGTCAGGGGACGAAAACAGAAACGTCCCCACACCACCCGCGCCCCTTTCTGTGCATCCGCCAGCTACCCCGCCCGTGCGGGACCCAAGCGATGAACTTGGCCGTGGCCATGACCGCCCTGCCTCTGACAGTGCTGTCCCATCTGCCCCAAGCCGCGCCCCGCCAGTGCGGGGCTCAAGTGCCAGGACTGCAGCGCTGCCGGCAGGGCCACGGCTTGTGCATGATGGTTTGGCCATCAGAAACGACGATGGCAGCATTCTCGCTTGGATCAAGCACAAACCGCAAAGTAATGATTTCTTTGTAAACTGTTCCTTGCACGAAAATTGCACCAAGACTAAGACGCTCAGAAGCTCTCAAAGACATGGCAGGAGGTTGCAAGGACGTCCGCTCGGTTTCCTGGCTGCGTGGGCCGTGCAGGGACATGCATGTCTTTCCAAGGAAGCGCATTCCTTGGTTGTGCCTTCATTTCTCGACCGCAAGAATGCTCGTGCGAGGCTGCGTCAGGAAGCAAATGCGTCTGAGTTCTTTGTCAAGGAACGAGACCGTCGTTCAGACGAGCCCGACAGCGAGCCGGACCACTGCCCTTAGGCGTTTCTGCTTTCTGCATGCGAAACTTCAGTCCGTCTCAAACAGTCCAAACAGTTTTGGGCAAGCGTGGCTTGTGGATTCTGGCCTCGTGCTGTGCCATGCAATCTGGGCCTGGGCCGAGGAGGCCATTGCAATCTCACCTGGCAGCCCTTTGGCCCTGGGGCCACCGCATTGCAGATTCTGTGCTGTGGCCAATGATGGCTTTGCAAAGGCTTTGCTTCCTCGAAGCGGGCAGCCATGTGCGTCGTAGCTGCCCATGTCCCGTTTTGCAATAGCCCGCGATAGGCCGTAGCCGTAGGCCTAGGCCAGGCCCAGGTTTCCACACCGTCTCTCATGCCACCGCGTACTCTCCGATCGGTGCTGCAGCGACGCGAAAAGACTAGACTAGACCGAGGCCAGAAGCAGATCAGGCAAGTTCAAGTTTGACATGCTGCAGTGACTGCAGTGCTGCGAGGGTCTTTGACGCAGGTGCGGTCTGGGCTGTCTGCTGCACATGAGTGGATATCTCAATCACATCTGCTTCCAACCTTGCTGTCGTGAGTTGTCTCTTTATTCTTCTGATTCCGGCTCTCTTGTGACAATACCAACTGCCAAAAGATAAAGGCAATAGTACCATGCAATGTACTGTATTGTAATGTCGGTAATGTCGAGTCAGTCAGCGAAGAGGCGAAGAGTATGACGTATGACAATATTCAATATTCCAAGATTCGAAGATGGTACTGCGCTTGAGATATGACCGATATGACCGATACAGCGACATTCCGTGCTTTCCTGCAGCTCTTAGGACTTTAGGACTTTACAAGAATCCAGAGCTTTTGAGGATCATGTCTGGGGCAGAGCCCGTGCCGCCATTGCGTCGTTTGGGCGCCTTTCTTCTTGAAAGTTCGGAAGATGAAAGCGAATCACAGTCACAGTCAGAGCTGCAACCCAGCCGTCCCCAGCCGAAGCGGCCAAAGTTGAGTTTGTGGGCGCCAGAACCAAAGCTGCAGACCACCAGCTCCAAGTCCAGCCACCTCAAACAGAAGGAGCAGCGAGAGTCAGAGACAGAAGAGGAGGCGCGGAGTTCAATCGCGTGTCATGTCAGAGTCTTGTCCTGTCGAGTCAGTCATTTCACTCAAGTCTTGTCTCTGTCTGTATGACCTAATCTAAAGTCTAAAGTTAAAAGCCTACAGTCTTGTTTCCTCTTCATTCCCGGTCATACCTCCTGCAAACATGTGTATCTGTTTGTGCAGCTGCATGAAAATTGGAAGCCCGCACAAAACACACTGCAGGCTGACCGACCCCGTGGCGAGATGACCTTATGGACATGGAAACAAGAGAAGGCCACGCGCATCCAGAGTGTCAACAAGGTGAAGGCTACATCCGCATATCGAGCCTTCAACACATACCGCCCAAGGAGTTCCAGAGATCCTACTGAACCTATGACGCCCGAACCGACAGAGATCACCCCGCGACGCAGATGGCAAGCGCAGCTAGATGATTGGAAGGCACAGTTGGGCTTGGCCACTTCATGCATTGACTGAGATTTCGCTTCCACATTTTAGATTCTAGATTCTAGGCCTAGGCCAGGCTTTGGACTTTGCTACTGACATGGCTTCGGCGGCTGCATGCTCTGCTGCCATATAGTACCATATAGATTAGAGTCCTTGGACTCTCGACTCCAGAATCGACAAGCTGGCGAGCTGGCAAAAGGAGACCGTTTTTTTTCTGAATGCCTTAATGCTCGGTTCGGGCCGGGCCATCGTGCAGTGCGCAAATGAACGTTTTGATTTCTGACTGTTCCTCACAGGTTCCGCGCAAATCATGGTCAGATAGGACCATGATTACGACTACGACCAGGAATGCTCGTAACTCGCACCCTTAGCCTTAGCCTTTAACTGTTCACTAGTAACTGTAACTGTGATTCTGTGATTCTGAGACGCGGAGATGGGCACATGTCTGACATGTCCGATGTTCACTTGCTCGTATACGTCTACGTATACTAAGTATACTACAGTTACTACACTACACTCTATTCCTCTATTCCGTAGGACGTCTTAACAGCAGTTCATGCGGTGTGGCGATTCTGATAGATTCTATGGGCGACACATTCCGCGAGACTCGCGAGACTGCCAGTGCTGCCAGTGAGGCTTTTCCCGCTGCCCAGGAGCAAGATGTTAAGGCCAAACGATCGGCCGAGTCACATCAGAATGCCGCCAGTGCTTGGGAGATGTCGGAGATGCCGCCCTCCAAAGCTCTGAAGGCCAGCGAAAGCCTGGTAACAGCTGAGGTGCAGGCTGCTTCGCTTGCGGCCAATGCCAATGAGATTATGCCCAAGGACAACCGAGCGGCCCGAGCGGACCGAGCATTCACAGACAGTGAGAATGACAAAGTGTCAAGCAAAAGTTCGGCATCAATGGCTGCGGCTGAGACACCCATCGGCAGTCCTAGGGCCACTCCTTCCATTGGCATTGCCACTCCTGTGGATGTGGGCAGAAACACAGCAGCTACAGCTACCGCTACATGCACGACCGCTAGTCAGGATGGCCCTTCAGAAAGTTCCGCCCTTCTGGAGTCGGAAGAGTTGCGTGACCGTCGGTTGTTTTTGTGGCAAGTGAACAGCCCTGACCAGGGCAACACGAAGAAACAACATCATTGTAGGGCCGAGAGCTTATTTGAGGATTCCGATGACGACTGCAGCGACTCTGCTTTGGTGAAGTCGCCTTTAAAACCCCGTGATCTGAATGCTGCTTTCGATGCTGTGCCACCGCCAATGGAGATGGACTTGGAGCTGGGCCGGGAGGTTGGGTCTGAAGGTCGCACCGGCTTGAAGTTTCAACCAGAAAAGCTGTCGGATTGTGTCCATGATGTGCCAGTGGCTTCGTGGCAAAGACATATGTTGGAGTTCTTCGGGCCTCGCATGCAGCCTGTAACCTTTCACAGGCCTTTGCGCCTGGGCACTTCGTGTTCGGGCACAGGTGCACCTCGGATCGGCTTGCGAACCCTTGGGTTTCCAGTACTGGAGACTGCGAGTGCAGATCCAAAGCCAGCTACCATGAAGTTCATGCGGGACGTGGCTCAACTCTCCTGCCATCACTTCGCCTCTGTGGACAATTTGCAAAAGCGCTCGGGGTACTGTCATGTGCATGAGAAGATGTGCACGTTGGAGGCCATCCGTGATGACTTGTATGTAGCAGGCTTCCCTTGCTCTCCGTTCTCCAGACAGCGGGCTGATCGCTTCACTTCTGCTGCAGGGTGGCGTGCTCATCCACAAGCAGCAGTAATGTTCGGCGTGGCCGCCGACATTAGGACTCGGGAACCGCTTCTGGCGGTCCTTGAGAACGTGACTGGATTCGTCATGGCTTCGAAGGATGAAGCAGCCCAAGGGCCGTCCGTGCATCATCCAGATGTCAAGCGCGATTCCCCACTTGATGCACTGCTATCTGCTGTCAACGATGGCACAGATGTCCAGCATCCTCGTTATTTCGCATGCTGGCAGCATGTGGACGGAGATCTGTGGTCTGGATTCCCAAGACCTCGAGTGTACATCATGTTGGTGCACCGCGATCTTGGTGTATCTGTGCTGAAGGATGCAGCTTGCATCCTGCGCGATGCCTTGGAGCACTGCAAGGGCAAAGAGCCCCTGACTTTCGCCGAGACATTGCTGCCCAAGGACTCTACCGTTCTGGCAAACCAGATGGCAAAACATCAGGCGGGGATCTGTTTCTTGAGCGGCCATTTTTGCGTGGTTTTCAATCGTAATGGGCACAGGTGTCACATGACTCAGTTGCTCTGCAGTTTCCGATTCTTGTCAGGTTTGACTCCAGTGCTGTGCACCCATTCATCATCTTAGACTTTGGATTCCAGGTTGAGGGCATTTTGTCCTTTGGTTGAGAGTGCTAAGTCTTAAGTCTTAAGTCTGCTAGGTACAGGTAGGTAGGTAGGTAGGTAGGTAGGTAGGTGGTAGTCACGTCATACCCATTCACACTCATACTCAGTCATACTCATAGTCATAGTCATAGTCCCAGTCCTAGTCACTTAGGTCCTAGTCCTAATCATAGTGATGGATCTTGGAGTGTGCGAGCCTGCCTTATAGTGACCTTGCTTTACGGCTTAGACTCCTAGACTTTTCCTAAGGCTTAGAATCCTCGACCCAAAAGCACTGCAGGTCCAGACCCTGGACGCAAGCTGTGACAGGGAGACACAAAGAGTCTTCACGATTTGACTTGACTTCACTTCGGGTGTCAGACTTACTTACAGACGACTTTACAGCAGCCACCCAGCCACACGTCGAAAGGTCAATAGTCAGTGTGGCTTGAGCGTACTATATAGTATATAGTAACTATAGTACAAAGTTTGTTGCCAGCGGCTAGGCCCCGGGTTGGCTTGGATTAGAGGCTTAGCTCAAGTTCAGGCTCCGGCTCAGGCTGGGCTCAGGCGGCTAGTTAGGCTAGGCCCCGGCTGGGCTTAGCTCAAGTTCAGGCTCAGGCTCAAGCGCAGGCTCAGGTAAGCTTACACTTAAATTTTGTAGCGGCTTTTGTGCGGCTTTTGGCTTTTCTTCGGTTGCAAGGATTTCTCATCATTTGTGGTTGGTTTTAATTTATTTTTTTTTTGAATTGTTGCCTTATTTATTTTCAATTATTTTTCTATTTTTTTTTAATTTGGATCCAAGTCAAAACTTGCCTTAGATAGGTTTCTCTATCTAAGGACCAGATTGAAATTAAAAAAAAATGAATGCAAAATGAAAAAAAAATAGAAAAAAATAGAATAGATATAAAAATCAAAAAAAAATAGAAAGAAAATCAAAAAAAAATAGAAAAAAAATCAAAAAAAATAGAAAAAAATGAAAAAAATAGAAAAAAATGGAAATAAAATGAAAAAAAAATAGAAAAAAATGAAACCAAAATAGAAAAACTACGACAACACCACTTACAAAATTGAATTAAAAAAGGCAGAAAAACAAGGCCAGGAGAACACTGTCAGTGACCATGTGACCAAAGAACTGCTTATTTTTGAGTCCC